ACTGAGCTGGCCTTGACAAGGGCATAGAGGAGGGCTCTGCGTTGTCATAGGGTCACCGGCTCAGGAGGTCTGGCGTGGGACCTCAGAGAACAGCACGTCCACTAGGCTCCCAGGGGAGGGGGTGCTGGCAGGAGGAGGGCGAGCGGGGCACAGCTGACCTCTTTACTTCCTCATCCTGGCTGTCTCCCTGACACCTTCCTCCCAGCATCTCCATGGGGGCAGCGCCACTGTGAGCAGAGCACCGCTGAGTGGGCGTAAGGGGACATAGCACCACCTTGCCCGTTTCAAACAGTGCGAGGACATCGCCTGACCAAGGACAGTCAAGAGCGTCACTGCAGGCGTTTCTCTCTCTTCTCAGAATGTGGTGAGGCCACACCGAGCAGAGGGACGTTGGCCGTGACCTCGTGAGGACTCCCTCTGGCCTGGCATTGCAGATGTTTTGTCTCCCAGGAGATAAGACTTCCGTGGTCAGTGCTGAGCTCCCTTTTTACAGATGAGCGACCTGAGGCTCTGGGTAGCTCGGTGTCTCGTCCAGGGCTGTCGGCCCCGGCTTCCGCTGTACGATGCTGTCCATGTATAGGAAGGGCTGGGCATTTTTTTTTTTTTTTAGCAGAGCCACTGGTAAGCCCAGAAGAAAAGACCCGACTTCTGGAATGTTCCTCATGCATCCAGCTGCAGTGGCCAGTTACTCAAGTGGGGATTTTTAGGTCGGCATTTTTTTTTTTTTAACCACAGACGGGCCGACAAGGCACCCAGAATATCAGCATGTGGGCCTGGTTTGTGTCTTGCCTCAGTGCCAGTCAACACATCCTCTGAACACCTCTTTGTTTCTCTACTTTTTAGTTCGGATTTACATAAAAGTACCGAGAACAGGGAGGGGAGCCGGATGTTCCCCAGGCCTGCTTCTGTCATGATCAGTGTAGGGCCCGCCCACTTCATTTGCACCCCCATGCATTCCCACCCCTGAATTATTTTGGGGTAAATTCTAGACATCAGCTCAGATGCTGTTTTTTAGTGCCTAAGTAAACCTCAGATGCTTGCCTTTGGGGAAGGCATAAAACTCTCCAGACAGACTGAAAGGAGACCCGGAATTTAAGATACGGTGTTGGATGAGGAGTTCAGGTGGAAATGGTCTTAAAAAACCAAAGAGTGGCTGGCGCTGCGGCTCAATAGGCTAATCCTCCACTTAGCGGCGCCGGCACACCGGGTTCTAGTCCCGGTTGGGGCGCCGGGTTCTGTCCCGGTTGCCCCTCTTCCAGGCCAGCTCTCTGCTCTGGCCAGGGAGTGCAGTGGAGGATGGCCCAGGTGTTTGGGCCCTGCACCCCATGGGAGACCAGGAGAAGCACCTGGCTCCTGCCTTCGGATCAGCGCGGTGCGCCGGCCGCAGAGCGCCAGCCGTGGCGGCCATTGGAGGGTGAACCAACGGCAAAGGAAGACCTTTCTCTCTGTCTCTCTCTCACTATCCACTCTGCCTGTCAAAAAAAAAAAAAAAAAAAAAAAAAACCCAAAGAGCGGCTCTCAACACGATTTAAACTCCTAAATAATAAAGCAGCTTCAGCATTTTAGTAAGCGTTTATTTATTCAAAAGGTAGAGACAGACAGAGAGTGCCTACCTTCTGGTTCACTCCCCAAATAACCACACTGGCCAGGGCGGGGCCAGGCTGAAGCCAGGAGCCAGGAACTCACTCCGGCTCTCCCACGTGGGTGGCAGGGACCCAAGTACGCGGGCCGTCATCTGCCGCCTCCTAGGGTGCACCTCAGCGGGAAGCTGGAATGGGCGGTGGAGTTGGGACTCCAACCCAGGCACTGGGATATGGGATGTGGGTGTTCTGGACGGGGTAGCTGAAGCGCTGCACTAAAAGCCCATCCCAAGAACAACTTGTAAAGGTTCCGTTAGGTCACAGCCAGACCTAGGAGGAAGGCACCGGTCCTCACTAAACTAAGCCTGCTGTGCGAGTGCGTGGGAGGGGGATATGTGTGTCTCTGGGTGTTGTCCCCTGCCAGCCCCGGGTAACTCTAAGTGGCCTGCCACCTCCAACCTATGTCATCCACCTTTATAACCTCTGGTTCTTTTCTTAGGGCAGCTTTGGGTTTATAGAAAAATTGAGCAGAAAGTACAGAGATTCCCGTAAGCCCCGCCCCACCCCACAATTTCCCGTTACCATCCTGTGTTAGCAGGGTGCGCTTGTTAGAGCTGATGAGCCAATGTCAGTGTTCGCTAAGGCCCTCGGGTTAAGGAAGGGTCCCTCTCGATGCTGGACACTGCTGACCACGTCCACCACGGCAGTGTCACTCAGAGCGGTTTCATTGCCCCCAGATCCTCTGTGCCCCGCCCACTCACGTCTCCCCTCTGGATTCCCTGACAACTACTGAGCTTTACTCTGAGTCCCTAGTTTTGTCTTTTCTAGAATGTTCTGTAGTTGCAATGATTGGCCTCTTTCACTTAGCACATGTGTCAAGGTTGCTTCAGGCCTTTTCTGTGGCTCGAGAACTCCTCTCTATCGTTGAATAACGTCCCACAGTTTACCTGTCCCCTACTGAGGGATCTCCGGGTTGTCTGACTTTTGGCAGTTAGGAACAAGGCTCCTGTAAAGGAGCAGGTGCCGCTTTGGGGACAGGCAGCAGCTCCTTTGGGTAAATGCTGAGGGGCGTGCCTGCTGGCGAGCATCGTGTGCAGAGCTCCCACAGTGACTTGCAAAGATTTGTCTTTGGTCAGTGGCTTTGAACAGGAAATATTTTTAAAAATGAGGTTAGCACATATAGAATAAGGTGTGCTAATTTTAAGTGTATGGTTTTTTTTGTTGTTGTTTTTAACCCACCATGTACGTGCAAGGTCAAGACTCGTAGCATGCCCAGCTTCCAGAAGCTTCCCCTGTCCCTTCCCACTCACTACCCCCTCACCCTGCTAGGATCGCACCAGTCTGGTTCCTACGAGTGTGCTGGTTCCTTCTGCCGCCTCTGCCCCTGCGTCCAGTTTTTGAAGGCACATGTTTTGGGGGGCATGGGAGCCAGTAGCTTTATTTAATTTTGCTTCGTTTTGAATGCCGCCTAATGTTGTCACCAGATCATTCCTCCTGGCATGTTTTCCGAGTAGATAGTTTTGGCTTTGCTGGCTAGTGAATGGATGGGCGTGGCTGTGTTCCAATAAAACTTTATTTATAAAACAGGCAGTGGGCGGGCCTTCCCACCGTGATGCTCGTGAATGCTGTGTCCCAACCCTTGTCAGAATCTGCATGTCCCGTGCATGATTGGAGACGTCCTTGGGCGACTTTCATGCATGTTCCGGGTTGAGAATCCACTGTGCCTTCCCTTCAGAGGCCAGACGACAGGTGTCCCCACCCAGGACTGGGAAAATGGCCTGAGTGATTGGTGCAGTCGCTGCTCTAGATGCCCACATCCCGCGTCCCAGTACCTGGGTTCAAGTTCGGCCTCTGCTTCTGATCCAGTGTTCTGCTTATCCATACCATGGAAGGCAGGAGGCGATGGCTTGATCACTCGGGGCCCTGCTGCCCATGTATGGGGGAGCCCGGGAGTGAGTTCCTGGCTCTCGGCTTCAGCCTGGCCCAGCCTCCAGTCTTGGAGCATTTGGGGAGTGAACTAGCAGATGGAAGGTCTCTGTCTCTCCGCCTTCCCAATAAATGGATTTAAAAATAGAGAAACACTGTGACAAAAGCCCAGTACACTCTCTGCACCTTCCAACACTCGTGAGCGGTTTCATTTCCCCTTTTCAACCGTGGTGTCATTTTCCCTCTTCTCCTGAGATGACGGGCTCCCACCTGACCCTTCACGGAGGGGGAAAGCCTTGGATTCGAGCAGCAAATACCACCTGTCACAGCGGAGCGCCAAGGTTTATATGGGGAATGTGGCAGGATCAGGAGTCTTTGGGGATCCCCGCCACTGTGAAAAGCAGGTGCCTGCCTCAGTCATGAGAGAAAGTTGTGGTCTCGGGGGGATTTTACAGCTCAGCTCCCTCCAGTGGAGCCGTTTTGAGTGACGCCGAAGCTGAGCTGCAGCTGTTCTGAGAACTCAGGAAGGTGCGTGGCACAAGCCCTGTGGAGCGCACCACCCCCGGCCTGGTCACTTCTTAGGAAGTGGCTACTGTCGGCAGTCCCATTTTACAGAAGGGGAGATGGAGGCACCAAGCGGCTGTGTCGTGTAGGAAAGGCCATGGAGCCGGTCAGGCTGGAGCCAGGATTGCAACCTTGGCTGCATGGGAAGCGGGGCAGCCGGGACTTGCACTAGTGCCCTTGTGGGATGCTGACGTTGCAAGTGGCATCTCAACCCGCTGTGCCACCGTGCCGGCCCCGAGATCCGTCTTAATCGCCATCCAGCCCTGGGCGCATGCCGCAGCGTTCTTGGTCACTGTTCCCTACCTGTGTGTTCTATTGAAATGCGGATGCCCCAGAAAGAAACAAAGCCACTTGTGTCCCCCTGTGGCCATCAGCTGCCTGACCCCTGTAGGTGTCTGACAAAGCAGTGCGCCTTTGAGACCACCTACTCTTGGCTCTTAAATCTGACTTAAAGAAAACAACGCAGCAAGCGTAGGCTTGGCTGGCGTGCGCCTTCCCCAGCAGGTCTGTGTCTAAAGCCAGTGGACAGGGAAGCCTTCCCCTATGCGAAATGTCAGCCGGCACTCACGTGCGGTGGCTGTGGAGAGGTGGGACCGTGGGAGCCGCCTTCCCTCTCTCCAGGAACAGGCATTCCCCAGTGACACAGGACTTCTGCCCCGGGGGCTGCACATGTGCTCGGTCACCTGAGGAATGACCTAACCTTTCCTTTAGGGAACTGGCCGCTGACCCGGGGGGGAGAGCAGCGGCTGCTGTCGCGTTTCACTTCACAGGGGAGGCTGCCCTGAGAGGCCAAGTGATATTTGGACTCAGAGTAGGGGAAAGTACTGGATTCTTCGAGGGGGAAGAGAACACGCGGCTAGGTAGCGGGACTGCTGCAGGCTGGCGGCTCTGCAGCGGCAGATTCAGCCACCGCCCCTCGCTGTCCCCTAGGCATCCCCTGGCCACCTTCTTCCACCTGTTTTTCCGAGTGAGTGCCATCGTCACCTACGTGTGCTGCGACTGGTTCAGCCGAAGCTTTGTGGGCTGCTTTGTCACTGTGCTTCTCCTCCTGTCCTTCGACTTCTGGTCTGTGAAGGTGAGGCCCCTCCTCTGTGAGGTCACCTCCCCCCAGACACCTGGGCATTGTCCCCAGGTGACACTCCTGACACACGTGGGGCTTAGAGGGAGCTAGGTTTAAACTGCCGATACGTGCTTAAGAAGATGACCAGAGTCACTCAAAATTAGAGGGGAAAATGCATCATTTAGCATTTACTGAATGGCTTGGGATCGGTGGCCATGGGCACACAGATAGACCTTAATGAAGGCGACGTTGGGTCAGCGCTGTGGCGTAGCAGGTAAAGCTGCTGCCTGCAGTGCCGGCATCCCACGTGGGTGCCGGTTCAAGTCCCAGCTGCTCCACTTCTGATCCAACTCTCTGCTTTGGCCTGGGAAAGCAGTAGAAGATGGCCCAAGTCCTTGGGCCCCTGCACCTGCATGGGAGACCTGGAAAAAGCTCCGGGCTCCTGGCTTCAGATCTGTGCAGCTCCGGCCATTGCGGCCAACTAGGGAGTGAAGCAGCGGATGGAAGATCTGTCTCTCTCTCTCTGTACCTCTCCTTCTCTATGTAACTCTTTCAATTAAATAAATAAATCTTTTTAAAAAAACGAAGGCAACAACCCAGTGTTGCCTTAGATTTATTTTCTATAGACTTAAAAATTTATTTGAAAGGCATAGTGGCAGAGGGAGATCTGCCATTCGCTGGTTCACTTCCCAAATGCTTACAATAGCCAGGGCTGTGCTAGGCTGAAGGCAGGAGCCCAGAATTCCATTTGGGTCTCCCACGTGGGTGGCAGGGGCCCAAGCACTTGGTCAAATGAAGACGCTGATGGGCCTTTTGTCTGTGTTCCCCAGAATGTAACGGGACGACTCCTGGTGGGCCTTCGGTGGTGGAACCAGATCGATGAGGATGGGAAAAGCCACTGGATTTTTGAAGCCAGAAAGGTGTGGCCCGTGATGAGCAGCGCTGAGTAGACCCACGGAGGGCGGTGCCCTCACGCTTACCTGGGTCTCTGGCCCTGCCCTGCTGCTGGCTGGCCCCTGGATCGTGCACGCAGCGAGTGTGTGAAGTCGGCGTGGTTCCCACGATTTTCGCTCGTTCTGAAAACGGAATGCCTCTCCCGTATTCCAGATGTCTCCAAACAGCGTGGCTGCCACCGAAGCGGAAGCGCGCATCTTCTGGCTCGGCCTCATCATCTGCCCGGTGATCTGGATCGTCTTCTTCTTCAGCACCTTGTTCTCCTTGAAGCTGAAGTGGCTGGTGAGGCCCCTCGTCTGCCCCGTGGCCCTGCCGCGGTGACGGAGCGCGGGCGGCGCGGTGGGGCTTTGTTGTCAACTGATGGACTGTGACAGGTTGACTTAAAGTGCATGAGGGTACTTCAGAAAGCTCACGGAAATCAAAAGGGACGTTTGGAGCTGGCGCTGTGACGTAGTGGGCTGAGCCTCCGGCATCCCATATGGGCGCCGGTTCAAGTCCTGGCTGCTCCTCCTCCAGTCCAGCTCTCTGCTGTGGCCCGGGAAAGCAGTGGAGGATGATCCAAGAGCTTAGGCCTCAGCCCCGTGGGAGATCTGGAGGAAACTCCTGGCTCCAGATCCGCCCATCTCCAGCCGTTGAGTCCGTTGGGGGATGGAAGACCTTTCTCGCGGTCTCTCCCTCCATCTGTAACTCTACCTCTTAAATAGTAAATAAAATGTTAAAAACAACAACAACAACAAACAAGGACTGAATCCAGCACCAGCCTATTTCTAAAGAGGGGAGGGAGGAGGAGTTTATTTTGATTCCAGAAAAGTTGGAAATCTGTACGTAATCTTTTCACAGTACGCACATTCTGTGCGTTTGTCAAGACCCCCCGTGTAACCCAGTGCTTGTCCTAGACAGAGAGTCGGGCAGCCGTTGCCACAAGCAGTTTAGGGTATGTTCATCACAGCACCAAGCTGAAACCGTTAGCTGTCACTCCCCTATGCTCCCGGTCCCCTAGCATGGGGCAGCCACCCATGCACTACCTTCGTCTCTAGATTTCTCTGGATAGTTCACAGAAATTGGGTATGTGGTCTTTGTATCTGGCTTTTTTCACTTAGGATATTTTCAAGGCTCACCAGTGTTGCAGCATGTTGGTGCCTTTTCATGTCTGAATAATGTTCCCAGTGTAGGAACTGACCACATTCTGTTTATCTGCTCATCAGCTGACGGTCACTGGGTTCTTTCCACCTTTTGTTTCATATGAATAATGCTGATAAAGAGTATAAAATTATTATTTTAAAAAGATTATTTGAAAGGCAGAGTTAGAAAGAGAGAGGGAGAGATCTTCCATCCATTGGTCATCCTCAGATGGCCGTAATGGCCAGGGCTGAGCCAGGCTGAAGCCAGGAGCTTCTTGCAGGTCTCCCACATGGTAGCAGGAGCCAAGCACTTGGGCCATCTTCTGCTTCTTCTCCAGGCCAACAGCAGGGAGTTGGATTGGAAATGAAGCAGCCAGAGCACAAACTGGTGCCCATATGGGATGCTGGCACCTCAGGTGGCAGCTTTACCTGCTGTGCCACAGTGCCAGCCCCTTTATCATTATTTGAGAGGCTGAGAGACAGAGAGGGCTCCCACCCACTAGATCACTCACCAGACACCTGCAACAGCCAGGGCAGGACCAGGAGCCTGGAACCCCAGCTGGGTGGCAGGGACCCCACTACTTGAACCATCACTGCTGCTTCCCACGGTGCACGTTAGCAGGAAGCTGGAGTCAGGAGCCGCAGGCAGGTGTTGAACCCAGGCACTCCTAAGTGTCCTAACCTGGCATCTTACCTGCTGGGCCGGATGCCTGCCCCCCAGGAAGGAGCTTAGCGTAGAGGCAGGCATGGTGGCATCGTGAGTAAAGCCACCACTTCAAACGCCAGCATTCCCGGATCAGTTCAAGTCCTGGCTGCTCCATTACCAATCCAGCTCCTTGCTAATGCACCTGGGAAAGCAGTGGACGATAGCCCAAGTGCTTGGGCACCTGCCACTCAAGTGGGAGACCGGGATGGAGTTTTTGGCTCTTGGGTTAGGCCTGGCCCAGACCTGGCTGTTATGGCCATTCAGGGAGTCAACCAGTAGATGGAGGATCTCTCTCTGTTTCTCCCTCCTTGCCTCTTGCTCTGCCTTTTTTTTTTTTTTCTTTTTAGATTTATTTATTTATTTATTTGAAAGTCAGAGTTAACACAGAGAGAGAAGGAGAGGCAGAGACAGAGAGAGAGAGGGGTCTTCCATCCGCTGGTTTACTCCCTAGCTGGCCGCCAATGGCCAGAGCCGCGCTGATCCGAAGCCAGGAGCCAGGAGCCTCCTCTGGGTTTCCCACGTGGGTGCAGGGGACCAAGGACGTGGGCCATCTTCTGCTGCTCTGCCAGGCCATAGCAGAGAGCTAGACTAGAAGTGGAGCAGCCGGGACTCGAACTGGCATCCACAAGGGATGCTGGTACTGCAGGCGGAGGCTCCACCCGCCACACCATAGCGCCGTTCCCTGCTCTTCCTTTCAAATGAATAAATAAATCTTTGAAGAAAAACAGAAGGCATAAGACATCCTACGTTGGGTAGGGAGTCCTTCCTAGGTCACAGCTAGCAGTCCTCAGGTTCTACTTCGCAAGCATTGCCTGCCTGTTCCCTGATTAGTCCCTCACACGGGAAGACAGCAGCCGTAGCCGGGCTGCCTAACACTGTAATTAGGAGTGTGGGCCCTGGAGCTGACCCCAGCTGCGGCCCTGGGCTAGCTTCCCTGCGCTTCCTGCTCTTGCCCTGTGGATGACGGAGTGACGACCTCGGAGTGTTTGCCCGGGGAGAGGCTGCTGTCACTCTTAGGTCAAGGCCGCAGCCACCCCTGGGGCCTGGAGGGGAACATTCCAGGGAACGCGCTCAGGGCTACCTTTGCTTTGTCTGACTGCAGGCCCTCGTCGTCGCTGGGATTTCTCTCCAGGCCGCCAACCTGTACGGCTACATCCTGTGTAAGATGGGAGGCGAGAGTGACATCAGCAAAGTCACGGCCAGTTTTCTGTCCCAGACGGTGTTCCAGACGGTGGGTGCCGAGGCCTGACCCCTGGCCCGCGCTGCCCTCCAGGTGCTCAGAGCCAGGGCGGCTGCTGGCAGAGCAGTCCGCGATGTTGCCGAGGTCGGCCCGGCGGTCGCCGTGTTGTGTTGTGGCAAATGCCATAAAATCGAGCGGTGTAACACCTGCATGTGTGTGTTATGTGCATTCCCGCTGTTGTGCAGCCTTCACCGCCGTCTGCCTCCAGACGGAAACCGTCCACTGAGCTTCAGCTCTGGAAGCCACGTTCTGCTTCCTGTGGACCTGACCCTGCTAGGAACTGCTGCAGCGCCGCCCCCGTAGGACTGCCCTTGGTCACTGCCATTGCTTGTGTGAAGTGACTTTGAAAAAATTATTTGAAAGGCAGAGTTACAGAGGGCGGGAGAGACAGAGAGATCTTCCATCTACTGGTTCACTCCCCAAATGGCCGCAACAGCCAGGGCTGGGCCAGGCTGAAGCCAGGAGCCAGGAGCTTTTTCTGGGTCTCCCATGTGGGTGGCAGGGGCCCAAGCAGTTGGGCCGTCTTCTGCTGCTTTTCCCTGGCCACAGCAGGGAGCTGGATCAGAAGTAGAACAGCCGAGACTCGAAGTAGTTCACGTATGGGACGCAGCGGCTTTACCCACTAGTCTACAACGCTGGGCCCTTTAACGATTTCTTTAAAAAAAAAAAACAAAAAACAAAAAAGCCTATAGAATTGAGGGAAGAATCTGTGTTTATTGAACTCAGCAGGTATCTCTGGAGGTGAGAAGGTGATGCCTTTCAGATCTGAGCAGGCTCGCCCTGCCTCTGCAGGTTTAGTCTCAGGATAGAGGCTGTAGCTGACCTCTGCCTCACAGGCAGGCCCGCCCAGGTGACGTCAGAAGCTCGAGAGTCCCCAGTGTTAGGGGGTCAAGGCTGTCTGGCAGCCGAGGGCCGGGGAACCTGCGGGAAGCGCTTCCCCGTGCTGTGAGGTGGTGGGGCTGCCCCGGGCGCTGCACCCTCGTGCCCTGGAGAGGGGTTCGGCCTTCCTCCCACAGACCACGTGCAAATCTGACCAACACAAGCAGGCGTGCACGGGACCGGGGCGGGGATGACAGAACGGGAGCAAGAGACCTAAGGGATTTGCCCAGCCCTCTGCGTTTACGCCCCAGCGGGATGGAAGACAGCAACGCCCCCTTCCCTCAGCTGGTCTCAGTTCCTGTGTGTGTCAGACCCAGCTGTAGGGCACGCGGCAGTGACGGCGAGCCTGGAGTTGCCGTCTTGCTGTGCGGCGTGTCCAGCGTGGGGCTCACCATGATGACAGCTCCCTCCGTGTGACGTGGCCGTGTCCCCTGCCGTGAGGCCACACGTGCACGCCGCTGGTGCTGTTCCAGGTCTGCTCATGCAGAGGCAGAAACAGCTTGGACAGGAAGCTGATGGGCTCCTGCACGGCTGGAGCTGCGTCCCCACGGCCTGCTGTGCGCGGGAAGCAGGCCCAGGCGGCGGCGGGGGGAGGGGGGGATCCAGGAAGCATTTTTATTTCACAAATGGCACACCCGTAAGGAAAGCCCGTGGCCTATGTTCTACAGGGAAGTGTTCAGGCGTCAGACGATCCAAGCGGCGTCGAACCATGCCACACTCTGGTCCCTTTCTGCCTGCAGCCCCACCTGTCCCCGAGCTGGTCAGGTCGGGCTGGACATTCTGGCGGCAAACCCTATGGCTCTGCTGCTGTGGCCCTCGGGGCTCTTCTGTCTCAGGAACTCACGGGGTTCTTGTCTTCTGACTGGCGGAGGCCACAGAACTCTTGGATTCCTGGCAAACAAGCCGGAGCAGGCAGAGCGTCAGTCCCCAGGCAGCCCCAGGCAGGGGGAGGTGCATCTTCACTGGGCGACAGCTCCGTGGCCGTGAACTTGACCTGAATACCCCGCGCTGCCTGCTGCAGTGGGGACCGGCGGCGGGAGGCCTGGCCACAGCCCATTCTATAAATGGAGAAACCTGCTCCCACACTTAACCCTGCTGTCACTTCAGCCAGCAGACAGAAGCTGGCCACAAACTCGGACACGAAGCCGTGACCACCGACACCCAGGCCCGCTGGCTGACGGAGCCCATGCACACGTGTGGTCCGGCTCACCAGGGTTCTGTGTTTACTGTTTGCTCTTCTGTGGATTTCACCCTGAAGAGCGAATCTGTTCCCAGCGTGGACACATCAGGAGGTCTCTCCCGGGCTCTTGGCTTCCTGCTGCTCATCCCAGACCGCCGGCAGCAGTGACCGCTTCTGGTGCTCGCTGGGAGGGCCAGCCCACCCCACTCCTATTCCCGCCCGGCCCCACGGCTGGCTGAGGGTCCCAGGCGGCCTCTCGCACTTACTTTGAATTATACTTCTGTAGGCTAATGTGGCTGGTGAGTCCGGCGCTTCAGCAAAAAAAGACTGGCCTTTGTCACAACTCTTGCCTTCAAGAAACACACGGCAGAAAATTAAACCCATGAGAAAACACAGTGGCAAGGAGACCAGGGGCTCTTCCTGCGCTGGTGACAGCTAGATCCGGAGCCCACCTCACTGACGAGAAGCTCAGGAGGGACATCCGGGTCTCCAGGACCCAGCTGCCACCTCCACGTGACCACAGATCACCTGGGTGGGGTGTGACAAGGGCAGGTGCCAGGCCCGCAAAAAACAGCTTGCGGCCCCCGGGCTGGCCCACGAGTGCGTTTTAAGGGATTCACTGGTTCTCGAGTAAAGGAAGTATGAAGTGGGGGGCTGGGGGCGGGGAGAGTGTTGGCGCCAGCAGTTGCGTGACTACAATGACAATGACCTGGGCTCAATGCCCAGCTGTGCTGCTGACTCCAGCTTCCTTCTAATGCAGACCCCGGGAGGCCGAGGTGGTGCTTCGAGTCGTTGGGTTGCCACCGCCCATGTCGGGGACCTGGATTACAATCTTCACTCTTGGCTTTGGCCCAGCCCGGTCCCAGCTGTAAGGGGCATTTAGGGAGTGAACCAGCGGAGTAGAGAGCTCCATTTGTCTCCAAAAGGATATACCACGAAAAGTGGGTCCAAAAAGGCCTAGTCGTATTTTAGGCATCTTTCCAGATACCCTGTATGCAGATAAATGTGGCACACCCACACTCATGCACGCACTTAAAACATGAATGGGAGCACAGTACACATTACTGAGTACTTCTATCCCAGGGCCAGTCTTTCACAGCCCATGGCTCTCGGCTCCTGCCCCGTCCTGGGCACACACAGATTGTGGTGTTACCCGGTGGTCCCGATGGGCACAGACTGGGGGGGCACCTTGTTGGTTTGATCCCCTCTCATACGCGCTGCCAACCCTCAGCGCCGGGTGGACCCACGCCCAGCTGGCTCTGCCCCCTGCCTAGGCCCGAGCACAGGGCTGTGTGTGCCCTGCCCACTGCTGCCCACCGAGCCTGTCAGATGACCTAGGCTGCCTGTCATGTCCCTGACACCCTGACTGTGTTGCCCAGAGGGATGGGAAACTGAGCAAGAGAAGGACCCTGGGAGGAATGTGGGGGCAGAAGTGGAGCCAGATGGGCCTGGGGGCCATGGGCCTAAGTGGACCCAGTTAGGACAGCCCCAAGCTCACGCCTGCTGGACAGGCCTGGGAGCTGGCTGGTCTCAGCAGCCACACACAGGCCACTCTGTGCCTTTCACCCTGGCCTCCTTCCCTGACAGCTGGGACATGCCGCCATGCTCTGGCTGCTCCCCGGCCGCTCACCACGGCCAGGTGGTGCTGTTGGGAAAGGCTGCAGCAGGGCCCTGTCCCCACTTCCCCGGCGTCCTCGCAGCCACCTCGCAGCACCACTGCTGTCCCTGGGTCTTACAGGAGAGCAGGCATCCAAGGCTAGGACCGTGGACACTGGACCCTCCGTCCTTCCTCAGAGCGGGCAGGAAGGCCTGGGACCCATAGCTTCAGAAATCTGCCCTTTGCCACCAGGTCCCAGAAGGGGCTGAAGCACGTGCCCACACCCTCCCCAGATCCCAGGAAGGTGACCTTGCGGCAGGTGTGGCTGTGTGACAGCATTCACCGCCCCTCCCGGCCCCTTTCATCTCCAGGTGGGGTTGAGGGTGTGAGGCCTTGTCACACAGGGCTGTGCCCCTAAGCAGGCACTGGATCCTCTTAGCTCAGAGCAAGCCCTTCAGCTGCCAGGGGGTCTCCACGGGCCCAGATGCTCCCGCAGGTAGAGACCCTTCATCATGGGCTAAGGTCCCCCCCATACACGTCCGAGGCACCGAGCCCACCGAGGGCAGTGACTGCGTGTGGTGCGTGCTGCACCCTGCCCCCACCGCCTGTGTGGGGAGGCCCCTGCTCTCACAAAACACGGGCGCCTCTTGTGGGAAAACTGCGTGGCGGGGGGTGGCTCATCACGCGAGCAAAGGCCAAGCAAGCAGCAGCAGTTGTGTGGAAACCGCGGAAGCCTCTGTGGATGTGGGAGAGGGGAAGGAGCCCGGGGCTCAGGGTCTCTGGGGCTGTTCCCATCCGCAGAGCAGCCTTGTGCCACCCTCGGGCCCACCCTCACCCCCTGCTAAGCTTCCACTCCCACCTGGATGGCGGTTCTCAGGGAACCATGGCGGGGCCGGCCTCTCTGGCTTCATCTGCATGACGGCCCTCTTCCCCATGGCTCAGGCTGGGCAGCACGGACCTCCTGGACACCTCCCCTTGCCTGCCAATTCCTGTCGCCACTTCCCCTCTTGTGTGTGTCCCTTCCTCTCCACCAACCCCTCCCCGCCACCAAGCCCGCTCTGGGCAGACACGGGCCCCAGGAGACCTCTCTCAGCTTCTCGTCCCTGGCTGATGCTGTCCAATCCCCCCAGGCCTAGGCGCAAGGCTGTCCACAAGCGGAGCCCAGGCTCCCTCTGCAGCTTTCCCCAGCCCTGCTCTCAGACCCAGGCCTCACTATTTGTTTCTTGGGGAAACACCTCTGGGGGGAGGGGAGTACTTAAGAGAGTGGGCGCCCTGCTCCCCACCCCCTGCCGCCAGATGCCCCACAGCATGTGGGACGGACCTGGGACCAGGACGGTGCCCTGCTTTGCTGCCGGAAGCTCCCACAGGTGCGCTCCTCGGGCCCAGGGGCCCTGGCCTGTCATGAGCTTCCTCGTGGAACGTGGCCCCCTGAGAGCAACAGCTGTCTCGGGGTGTGGGGAGGGCGCCCTCCCGAGATCAGCATCTCAGCCCCATTCCTCCATGGCCATACCCCTTCCCGTCCCCTCTCCTTGGTGCGTTCCTTCCAAATCCTGCCCCTGCCTCCCAGGGACCCGCCCTGCTCTGAACCCCTGCAGCATGGGGCCGGCTGTGCTGAGGCAGCAGGGGGAGGTGGGTGATGGGAGCGAAGGCCCTGATGGGCGGGGGCGGGCAGGGCGGGGCGCGCACACTCACCCACCTATGAGTGGATCCAGAGGCACGCGGCCGAGCAGGGGCACCGCCAGGTCCCGGCACATGGCCTCCGCGCCCCCTGTCGTCGGGGGGAATATCTGCGACTCTTTCTGTGAGGCACAGGGACGGGAGGTGGGGGAAGACAGGGCTGGTTTCAGAATCCTAAAGAAGACTTTTAAAGAAACTTTAAAAAAAACTCCACAAAGGCTTGGACTAGCCAGCACCGCAAGGATTTTCCTCCCGTCAGCAACAGAGGGTTCTGGTTGGGACTGCACTTCCCAGAAGGCTGCTGGGGAGAGCAGCAGCGGAGGCGGCGAGACCCAGCCCCGCCGCTCACCTTGCACTTGGGGCAGACGAAGCCGCTCATGTTCTCCACCACCCCGACGATCGGCAGCTTCACCTTGCGGCAGAAGTTAATTTCCTTCCGCACGTCCTGGAGCGACACCTCCTGTCAGGGGTGGGAGACCAGACGTTCCTGAGTCTGTGTGGCTGAGGGGCGGCCGTGCCCTCGTGGAACCCCAGTGTCTGCCTCTTACTTAGTGCCTGCTACGTGCCAAGCCCTGTTCCAGCTGCTGCCAGGTCCCACAAACTCCATGAGGATGAACCTGAGCAGCCAGGCAGCGGATGCACAGGGAGTCTGGAGACGGGGGGCCCCCGTGCTCGCTCTGCTAGTGAACACCCCACCCCACCCCCCAGCCAAAGTGGGTGCCGCCTGTAGATGTGGGCCCCGGGAGCCACAGCCTGCGGGCCAGACCTGGCTGGCTGCCTTTTCTCTTTTTTAAGAAGATTTATTTACTTGAAAGGCCGAGTTACAGAGAAAGAGGGAGAGAGAGAGAGATCTACATCCCTGGTTCACTCCCCAGATGGCTGCAATGGCTGGAGCTGGGCTGATCTGAAGCCAGGTGCTTCCTCCTGTGTCTCCTATGTGGGCTCCTATGTGGGCTCAGGGGCCCAAGGACTTGGGCCATCCTTTCCCAGACACATTAGTAGGAGCTGGATTGGAAATAGAGCAGCTGGGATTCGAACTGGCGCCTATATGCATTTCTTTTTTTACAGATTTGTTTATTTATTCAAAAGGCAGAGTGACAGAGAGAGACAGATCATCTTCCACTCACGGTTCAGTCCCCAGATGCCTGTAACAGCCCAGGCTGAGCCAGGGCAAAACAAGAGCCAGGAACTCCGTCTGGGTCTCCCCTGTGGGTGGCAGGGACTCTAACCCACCAGGCGCATGAGCAGGAAGCCAGACCAGAAGCAGAACAGCTGGGACTTGGACAACACTCGGATGGGGGATGCTGGTGTCACAAGCGGTGGCTTACGCGCTGTGCCACAACGCCAGCCCCTGCCTGCAGAGACTACGGCTGCTCTCACTCCACAGCGGCACTGCTCGGCGGCTGCGGCCCAGGCTGTGGGGTCCTCAAAGGCCGGGATATTTACCAGCTGCACCTTGACAGGAAAAGTCTGCTGATTCCTGATCTGGACGATTAGAAACAGAAACAACTCTACCGGCAAAAGCACCAGGAGCAGGGCCGGCGCAGTGGCACAGCGGGTTAACGGGTTAATGCCCTGGCCTGCGGCGCCGGCATCCCATATGGGCGCCAGTTTGAGTCCTGGCTGCTCCTCTTCCGATCCAGCTCTCTGCTATGGTCTGGGAAAGCAGTAGAGGATGGCCCAAGTCCTTGGGCCCCTGCACCCACATGGGAGACCCAGAAGAAGCTCCTGGCTCCTGGCTTTGGATCGGCACAGCTCAGGCCATTGAGGCCAACTGGGGAGTGAACCAGCAGATGGAAGACCTCCCTCTCTCTCTCTCTCTGTGTGTGTGTGTGTGTGTAACTCTTTCAAATAAACAAATCTTTAAAAAAAAAAAAAAAAAAGAACACCAGGCGCACTGCCCTCCTTGAGTCCGTCAAATCCACTTCCGGGTCCTGACCGCCTGGCTGCCAGTGTGCCACCACAGCCCTTGCCACGCATCCATGTTCAATGTCACCACACACGCTGCCCGCGTCCGGTGTGGCCACACCTTAGCACCCGTCATGTTACCTATCACGGCTCCTGAAAGAGTGATCTCCCTGAGACACACACTTGACTCTCAGCCCTTGGTAGCAAGAAAAAGGTACAGCAGGCTAAGCTGCCTCCTACAACACTGCATCCTGTACGAGCGCTGGTTGGAATCCCAGCTGCTCCACTTCCAGTCCAGCTCCCTGCCAAGGTGCCTATGAAGGCAGCGGAAGATGGCCCAAGTCCTTGGGTCCCTGCACCTGCATGGGAGACCTGTGTGGAGCTCCAGGTTCCTGGCTTCAGCCTGGGCTGTTCCCAACCATTACAGCCACTTGGGGAATAAACCAGTGGATGAAAATCAATGAATTGATCTGTCAATCTCTCTTTCAAATAAAATAAATAATTTTTTTTAAGAAAAGATCAATAGCAGCCACAGCCCTGTCTTTGTTCAGCACAGGATTTATGTGGCACGGCGCTAAGGAGGGTATGCGCTTCAGACTGGGGTCACAGGGGCCTCACGGCACAGCTAAGAAGTGAGTGACTGGTAGAGAGGGAGGGGACATCCCCCGAGAAGGGGCAAGGACCCTCGGAGCTGGCCTGCAAATGCCTGGCTCCCCCACCCCCGGCTGGTTCTACTGAAACCGGAGGTTTCCAGATGCTGTGAGTGGATGAGCGCCGCAGACCTGGCGGCACCCAGGGAAAGCGCAGGCCACTCTGCCCTACTGCAGATGACCAAGGACACTGCGAACGGAGGCCAGCCAGCTGGTCAGCAGTGATGCCGGCCCTGCGGGGTGCGGCTACAGGCCGGCTCGGAGCCACGCGGGGCGGGCCCGGCTCACCTGCGGGGTGGTGATGATCACAGCCCCATCGATGTGTGCCGCAGCCAGGTACTGGACGACCGAGAGGTGCTCGTCTGACGTCCCCGGTGGGGTGTCCACGATGAGGTAGTCCAGCTCGCCCCAGTCCACGTCGCGGAGGAACTGCTTGATCATGCCTGGGGAAGGAGTGGGTCGTGACCTCTATGCACAGACGCCCGCAGGTGGTCGCACCTACAGGAGGGCGCAGCTGGCAGCCAGTGGGGTCAGACGGGAGCGGTTAAGGCCGGACCACGCTGGTGCAGTCTGTGCTTTGCCTGGCAACGACCTCACGGGCGGCAGGGCCAGCAGCACCTTTGGTCCTAGCCCTCCGCCCCAGGACAGCCCAGCCTGCCGTGGCTCCTCCCTCACACACCCCTCTCCCTGACAGCAACGGGCCCCGGGGACGCCAGCCGGCGGGTAACTGCAGGGTGCCACAGGTTTTAAGGAGGGGAAACTCCTAAGAGATGCGGGAGCTGGCACTTCCCATCGTGCTGTCGGACCACGCTGGTGCCGACGCGGCACGGGGCCCGGCGGGACGGCACAGGTGCGGACGGAGCCCAGAGCCGTGGCCTCGGCGGGACGAGAGCAAGGAGGGGAAGCTGGCGGCACACCGTTTTTCTTGGGTCCTCTCCAGATGACGGCGTCGTCGGGACTGCTGAGCAGGAAGCCCACCGACATCACCCCCAGGTTGTCGTCCACGTACTGCAGAGGCGGCAGGGGACAAGGGCGAGACACACCTCACTCAACAGCACACAGAGGAGCACTGCCGGGGCTCCCTGTCCCAGCTCTGGCTGAAAGCCCACCGCACGGAACAGAGGCCGCCAAGCTGGGGCGACCTGGAAGGCCCGGGTGGCTGGCAGTGACAGGAGACTCAGCCGAAACGAACAGGTGTCACTTCCAAACTGTCTCAACTAGGGCTCGGCAAACGGGGCCCACTGTCTGATTTTGTAAATAAAGTTTTATTGAAACACAGCATGGCTGTTCAGTTACACATGACGCCTTTCCAGCGACCAGAGCAGAGAACGCCGGCCCACAGGCTGCAGACGTTTGAGCCGTGGCCCCTCAGACGTAAGGGTCTTAATGTGTCCACTGTGCCTCAAGAGGCGCCTCAGGCAATGCCTGTGGCTGACAAACAGGCGGGCCACCAGTCCACCAGGTGCACACGACCCCCACACCCCACCCTGAAAACACGGCAAAGGGGTAACTCACCACCGGAGACCAGCCCGAGCCACTCTGGTGAACCTGTGCGGACGGGAGCATCGACACGCATGTGAGACAGCACACCCACGTCACACTTTGTGCACAACTGAACCAAGAACACAGCTTTATGAAACACAGCTCCTTGTCTTATGTGACCTCTGAACCCTCAGTAAGGTAACAGCTCAGGGCGGGCCATGGAAGACGCAAGCCTATAAATACCCTTGGCTCCCAAACTGTGTTGTTTTGAAATTCTGCCTGGCCAGGGAACCAGTCACTCAAGTTCCACCGTGGCTTGAGGTCTGAAGCATTGGGAGAGAGTGACGGGAATTGGCTTGGTTGTTGTTGAGAAAATATAAGTGAGGGGCCAGTGCTGTGGTGTAGCGGGTAAAGCCGCCACCTGCAGTGCCAGCATCCCATATAGGCATCGGTTCGAGTCCTGGGTGCTCCATTTCCGATCCAGCTCGCTGCTATGGCCTGGGAAAGCAGAAGATGGCCCAAGTCCTTGGGCCCCTGCATTCGCGTGGGAGACCTGCAAGAAGCTCCTGGCTCCTGGCTTCAGATCGTGCGTGCCAACTGGGGAGTAAACCAGTGAATGAAAGACCTTTCTCTCTCTCTCTCTTTCTCTGTGCCTTTCCTTCTCTCTCTGTGTAACTCTGACTTTCAAATAAATAAATAAATGAAATCTTAAAAAAAAAAGAAAGAAAACGCAGGTGACCACGGGGCAGTGAGGCTGCTTCTCTAGTAGTCCAAGAGTGAAGGGAATAATGTTTTCCTTTAAAAAAAAAAAGTTTTTTTTTTTCTTTTTAAATTCAAGAGCAGAGAGAAAGAGAGAGCCATCCCACCCCCTGGTTCACTCTTCAAATGCCCGCAACGGCCAGGGCTGGGCCAGAAATGCAGTCCAGTCTACCGGGTGGGTGGCGGGAACCCAAGTGTCTGGGCCAGGGCCGCTGCCTCCCAGGTCTGCGTCAGCGGGAAGCTGGGATCAGGGGCCAAGGCGGAGCTGGGAACCCAGGCGTCGTCATCCGAGATGCGGGTGCATGAACCACTAAGCCAAACGCTCGCCCCGGGAACTACCTGTTGCTCCAAACTGCCCTAGCTGCGGCCTGACGCTCCCGAGGGGGAAGAGCTGGGGTCGACGGGCAGCCCCCCCCTGCAGAGGGCGTCCATCAGCGGCAGGTGCAGCTCTGCACAGCCTCTATTAGAAAGCGGAACTGAGAGAACTTCCAGTTACACATCAGCCTTGGAGCGACGCTGCTGTACAGCAGCGCGGAGCAGCCGCGAGCCAAAGTCCGCTCCGGATGAAGCCTCACCCCTTCCGAGAGCTTTACTGGAGTACAACGGGGGGGCTCTCTGTTCACAGCGGCGTCCGTCCCTCACTCCGTCAATTCCAGAGCGTCTCCCTGACTCCAGAGTGAAACGCTGGCCCCCGCAGCTGTCACCCCTGGTTCTGCTCCCAGCCCCCTGCCTTAGGCGGCCCCCAATCTGTTTTCAGTCATTATGGTTTTGTCTATATATTTCACACAAATGGAACCATACAATATATGGTCCTTTGTGAAGGACTTGAAGTTTTGTCTATTTAAAAAAAAAAATTACCTAGGGTACGCGTCTGGCCTGGCAGTTAAGTGCCAGCTCCAGTGCCCACACCCCACACCGGAGTGCCTGGGTCTGACCCAGCACCAGCTCCCGACTCCAGCTTTCTGCTAGGCAGACCCACGGAGGCAGCAAGTGACGGCTCAAGTGGTCAGGCTCCTGCCTCTCTTGAAGGAGACCTGGACCGAGTTCCCAGCTGCCGGTTTCAGCTGTGGCCAAGCCCCAGCTATTGCAGGCATTTGGGGAGTAAGCAGCAGATGGGAGCTCTGCCTCTCTAATAAATAAATACATTTTAAAAACCATTATTTCCAGTCATACTTTTTAAAATTTCTCTCTCTCTCTCTCTCTTTTTTTTTTTTTTTTGACAGGCAGAGTGGACAGTGAGGGAGAGAGACAGAGAGAAAGGTCTTCCTTTTCTGTTGGTTCACCCTCCAATGCGGCCGGCGTGCTGTGGCCGGCGCACCGCGCTGATCTGAAGGCAGGAGCCAGGTGCTTCTCCTGGTCTCCCATGGGGTGCAGGGCCCAAGGACTTGGGCCATCCTCCACTGCACTCCCGGGCCATAGCAGAGAGCTGGACTGCAAGGGGAGCAACCGGGACAGAATCCGGCACCCCGACCGGGACTAGAACCTGGTGTGCCGGTGCCACAGGTGGAGGATTAGCCTACTGAGCCACAGCGCCAGCCTCCAGTCATACTTATTTGATACATTTCCTTTTTTTTTTTTTTTTTTTAAGATTATTTATCTGAAAGGCAGAGTTACAGAGAGGCAGAGGCAGAGAGAGGTCTTCCTACTTGCTGTTTCGTTCTCCAAATGGCCGCAACAGCCAGAGCTGGGCCGATCCAAAGCCAAGAGACAGGAGCCTCCTCTGGGTCTCCCACGTGGGTGCAGGGACCCAACCACTCGGACCATCCTCCACTGCTTTCCCAGGCCACCAGCAGAGAGCTGGATCTGAAGAGGAACAGCAAGGACCCGCACCAGCGCCAAGCCAGCGCCACAGGCGGAGACCCAACACACTATGCTGCAGGCGCCGGCCCAAGTCTCCGGTCTTGAAAGAAGGTACCCGTGACATGGTTATATAGTGTGTAAGAAAGGAGAACTTCTGTTTTCTTTCTTCTCATTGTATCCTTAAACACTCCTTAAACACTCCTGTGTCATCACGGTGGCACTGACTGCGACGTATGGTCAAGAATGCCTGTGTCCTGACACCTGACCTCAGCCACGGGGGGTCTCCCCCTCCCCTGGCGACTTCAGAAGCAAACTCAAGGCCTTACCAGCACCTGTCAGGACTTTCCTTCTGCCATGGGCACCTGCAGCCCTGTGGCCATTCTGCTGAGGACAAAGTTTGCCCGGACTGCAGGCCCCGGCACCTCCCCTTGGCCCAGGCTGACCTCCCAGCTGGCACCTCCCTTTGCTGTGCACCAAAGGCTACTCTCAGGGAGGGTGCCCAGGGAGCACCCTGCTCTAGTCTGAAGTCCTCTGGTTCTGCCACGGGGCAGGGGCATTACCCGCCCCAATCACCGCTGTGTCCCAAGAAAGAGCCAATCTCGCCAGGCCCGGCATATGGACGCCCTCTTTTTGCAAGGCAGCAGGAAGGGAGCCGCATGGGGTCCCTCCCCTGCCTGCGTCAGTCACCGGCCTCCCAGTCTCAGTTCCCCAGGGAGACCACAAGGGCAGAGGCCGGCCCTTTCCTCCAGGGTGCAGACCCTAGCAAGCCCCGGCTGAGCGTTCCTGGTCACGGCTGAATTTCCACGTCTCACTTCTGCAATAATTCACTTGCTGTTTCCCTTCCCTTCTAAGAAGGCAACGAAACCGAGTGGCGCGGATGGAGTTTATCCAGAATCCCGCCCCGGTAGTCCACGGCTGCTGTAGAAGTGGACAGGTGGACAAGCGAACGTTTATCTGCGTTCATCAGGTCCATGCAAAAATGTACGGGCTCTGCTTGTCCCCGTTAGGGGTAACAGCTGAGTGTTAACACGGTTTACACTGTGAGAAAAACAGCCCGACGTGTGCAATCTGGCTCTTACCTGTTCTCCCTCCAGTCCCATTATCTTGGGGATGGACGGCCCACATATATCAATGTCTAGGAGAGCGACCTGGGGAAGGAGAGAGCAGGCGGTTACACCCGAGCGCACAGCACCCCAGGGTCACAACTGGTAGGGACGTCAGCCAGCGTCAGGCGTGGATTCTCACAAGGGACAGAACGCGGCTTCCAGGCCAGCAGCAGTCAGTTCAAACCCCTCAGGCCAAGCTCAGCACTGCCTGGCCCCCACCCCATGTCTGGCCGAGCTCCTTCCGGGTGACTTTAAGGACTTGGGGGGTGGGGGTGGTGGGAGGCCACATGCACCCTTGGGCTCAGCCACCGTCTGCTCAGCTGCTGCCATGTGCCCAGGCGGTGGGCATCACTCTCTCTGCTTTACAGAAGAACTGGGGTTCTGAGAGGCCCAGTGCCAGGGACAGGAACTGAGGTCTCCCGCCTCCATGGCCAGTGCTCTTCCCACTCCCCATGGGCCCAGGCGAGGAGGGCTGGAGCAAAGATCCCGCCGAGCTGACCGGCTGCACAGCCCTGTGACCCTGAAGGTTAATGATCAGCCTGCAACCAAGAAAGGTGAAATGAGGAAATCCAGGAGAGCTGCTGGGGGCTCTGACGACCCCAAATACCCTGCTCTCCCCGTTGGAGAAGCGGGGTCAGACACGGTCTTCTGGAACCTTCCGGAGAACAGGGCGGTACTTATCTGAAAGCTGTGATGTCTCAGAGCCAAAGCGCACACCTCTGGTAAGTCTGTGACTTCCCTCTGCACAAACCCAGCCTCTCAGGCCAGCGGTCAGGACCAGAGAGGTCCAGGAGCCTGCGCTGGCTTCCGGCGCCCTCTGCTGGAGCAGGCCGGCAGCACAGCCGGGCAGCCTGGCCTGCTCCCTGACACTTGGGGAGCCTGGGCCCGCTGCACCTGGACGCGGGGGCATTTAGCATCAGGGCCTCAGGACCTGGGAAAGGACACCAGCACCAGGGCCCTGACAGAGGCTGCCCCAGTGCCCACTCGGGTTCCACGCCCTCTCTCTGGGAACAGTGTCCCCAGCCTCCTGCCGAGAAAGTGCCCTCCACACAAAGAAGGGAGTGACTGAAGCGAGGCAAGGATGCCGGAAATGGAGGGAGCATGGGTCCCCGGCGATGGGACCACAGGTGCTGACAGCCCCTGCGACAGGTCACGGGCGCCCCGCGTCCCTGTCAGATGTGCGGTGGAATCTATCAGCACCCTGCTTCCGCCCACAGCGTTCCGGGCAGGAACCGGTGTGACGAGGCAGTGCCTGCAGGAGGCGGGGGCGCAGGGATGCCGTGGGCGTCAACACCTCGAGCTTCGCCTTTACCCAGCACCCCCGCTCCCCCGCAAGAAGAGGTGGGGGGGGTCCCCAGGGTCATGTGACCAGTGCGAGCTGCCTCTCCCGGTTCAGCCTCACCTGTCTGAGCGGTGCTCGCCAGTCAGAGCACACAGGAAGCTCACCCACTTGCACTTTATGGGCATCAGTGGCTTTTCAAAAGATTGTGTTCAAGTGGAAAAGACGGAGACAGAGTGCGCAATCCAGAGAGGGCTCCCGCTGACTGATCTGCAAAGCCTGGGCTGGGCTGGGCTGGGCTGGGCTGGGCTGGGCTGGATCTGGGAACCCGACCCAGGTTTCCCACATGGGCGCCAGGGCCCCTGCTGCCTCCAGGGCTCTGCGCTGGCGTCTCGCCTGCGCGGCCAAACCCCTGCCCCGCAGCAGCAGCCCCTGCGGTGGAGAGGCGGCACTGGCACGCAATTCCTTCCCTTGCCAGCTCAGGCGCACCCTGTGAAGGCTCCTCCTGCCTCTCCACAGCTTGCACGTGCCTCACCCACCCGGGAGTCGTCCAAGACCCTTCCGAAAGGGGTGACACACACCCGCCTGCCTGAAGCGCTCCCCGGGAGGGGCCCTGAGCAAGGTGGTGCCAAGCTTCCCCCTGTCACAGGCAGGACAGCGGGCAAGGCGGAATCTGGACGCCTGACTTTAATCGACAAGGAATCTGGACGCCTGACTTTAATCGACAAGACGTCTGCAGTGGGGAGGGGGTGGGGGGGACGACTGTGCTGCAGGTCAGACCCCCGCCGAAACGCCTGCCTGTTGCTGGCATCCTGTACCAGAGCACTGGTTCGAGTCTCGCCTGCTCTGCTTCCTACTCAGCTTCCCGCCAATGCACCTGGGAGAGCAGGAGGAGATGGCCCCAGTGTTCACGTCCCTGCCACCCACGTGGGAGACCCAGACGGAGTCTCTGGTTCTTGACTTTGGCCTGGCCCAGCCCCGGCTGTTGCAGCCATTTGGGAAGTAAACAAGCAGAAAGAAGATCTCTCTCTCTCTCAAACAAATAAATAAATTTTAAAAAAGATTTATTTATTTATTCAAAAGCCAGAGTTATAGAGAGGTAGAGAGACAGAGACAGAGAGAGGTCTTCCATCTGCTGGTTCACTCCCCAGATGGCCACAATGGCTGGAGCTGTGCCGATCCGAAGCCAGGAGCCAGGAGCTTCCTCAGGGTCTCCCATGGGGTGCAGGGCTCAAGCATTTGGGCCATCTTCCACTGCCTTCCCAGGCTACAGCAGAGAGCAGATTGGAAGTAGAACAGCCGGGACTTGAATCCCACAGTGCCGGCCCCAAATAAATAAATAAATAAATCTTAAAGCAAACTAAGGCCGGCGCCACGGCTCACTAGGCTAATCCTCCGCCTGCGGCGCTGGCACACCAGGTTCTAGTCCCTGTCGGGGCGCCAGATTCTGTCCCGGTTGCCCCTCTTCCAGGCCAGCTCTCTGCTGTGGCCCGGGAGTACAGTGGAGGATGGCCCAAGTACTTGGGTCCTGCACCCCATGGGAGACCAGGATAAGTACCTGGCTCCTGCCATCGGATCAGCGCGGTGCGCCGGCAGCAGCGCGCCAGCCGAGGCAGCCATTGGAGGGTGAACCAACGGCAAAGGAAGACCTTTCTCTCTGTCTCTCTCTCTCACTGTCTACTTTGCCTGTCAAAAAAAAAAAAAAAAAAAAGCAGCAAACTAAGACACCTGCAGTGTTAGCCACGCGCTGCCCGCGTGTGCTCTCAGGGCCAGTGAGGCCTCTACGGCTGGGGAGTCAGCTTGGCTGGCCACGTTTCCACACCGCGCACAGCAGCTCCAGGACCTCAGACCCTAACTCCACAGAAGCCAGTCATGCAATCAGAGGCCCACTCCCATGGGCGGGGGCAAAGCCCGTCTTCAGAGAGCTGTTTAGGAGTACTCTGCACCGTTTCCAGCCGCAAACACGATGCCAGGCGGTATGGACAATCTGAGGAAACTGGCCCTGGGCTGTGCCCTGGGCAGGCCGCAGAGTCCTGTCTAGGACAGAGCTGACCATCACTCCTCCGTACCCCAGATGGTGGGTAAAGCAGGCACGACTGCCACTCCACGCGGCGCTCAGCCCCGGACGCACATCATCTCAGCCCCGAGGCCCTCAAGACGCGAACCCCAAGGCAGGAAGAGGCTGGTCACTTGCCCAGGGTCCCAGCAGGGGTGTGGGCGGAGCTGGGGTGCTGAGCCACCCGGCACAGCTTGCATGAAAAGTGGCCACCCAGAGGGCAACACGGGAGTGGGCAGGCATGAGCTGCCCAGCGCAAGGCCAAACAGAAAAACGCAGGCTTTGTGGGCAACACCAAGGACGACAGGTCGCAAGTTAAAAGGAAACACGGCCCTCAGCTTGGGGGCTGTACAGAGAGGAGGTGGCCGGCCCCGGTCCCCCAGCAAGGTCTGCGAGGCGCCTGGTTTAGGGGAGAAGCAGAACGAGGTTAATGAGGAGGAAGGAGGAGTCCACCCCTCATGTAACACGCATGCGAGCGGACGTACACCTGCCATCCGCCCTCCTGGCCGGGGACCCCGTGCACCCCGTCACGCCCACTGGTCAGGCCCCTGCGGTCTGCAGGGGCCGGGACTCCAGAGGCCCAGCCCACTCAGGGGAAGGAGTGTGCTCGCGAGGAGCCACCCGGGCACCCCGCACAGCAGCAGCCCCTTGCAGGGTCCCACCTGCGAGTTCTCGTCCTCTGCCAGCCCGTGGGCGAGGTGGGCGCTGAAGGTGCTCTTCCCCACACCGCCCTTTCCGGACAGCACCAGGATCTTGTGTTTCACGGGCTGCATCTTCTCCTTGATCTCCTCTAGGGCTGCAAAGAGAGCGCCCACCACCAGTCAGGGAGGGAGGCCCCTCGGAGCTGCGTCCTGCGTCAGGCGGCAGCCAGCGGAGGTGCCGAGTGCCCCCGGGAACACAGGGCCGCTACCACGCCTGAACGTGCCACGAGGACCACGCCTGAGAGCGCCGCGTGTATCGGGCACCCGCTGGAACGTAAGTAGGGCCACGCGGGACTCCGGCGGAAGGGCTCACTTTGCACACAGAAATGGCTCCCAGCCTTGCACAAAGACCTGTCCAGGGACTTCTGACAATGTCTGGACACGCTGCTGGTGTCACAAAGCGGGTAGACAACCCCGCAGCAAGGAACGACCTGGCCCCAGACGTCCAGCAAGCTGAGCCCGGGAGCCTGCCCGGCGGCCGGGCCTAACAGGTGCCTGCTGTTCACCAGACACGAGTGCGCTCACCACCTTGCTCCCAATCTATAGGCACACTGGGTCTCTCTCCATTTCTGGGGGGCTACAGCCCTTCCCCAGGCACGCTGCTTGCAGCCCAAGCCTGCCCGAGTGGGCTCCGAGTCCTCCCCTTCCCAGTGCTAATGGCTCGCTCACGCCTCTCCGGTCCACGTAAGCTGCACCACAGCGGACAGCGTTCACAGCGAGTCACACACACTTCTGTGCACCGAGTGGCAGAATCACTGCTCACAAGGAAGACGATTTTGCCTAAAGCGGCAGAGCCAGGATTTAAGCCCCAGGGCTCCCTTGCCTTCAACGCCGACCTACTCTACCCTCTGCAATCTGTTTCTGTCACTCAACCCTCTGGCCACGCCCCGTCGTCCTGGGAGCCCCGCCCCTCTTAGCGTGCCTTTGGACTCCACGGCTGTCAATGACCCTTAAGGTCCCGCCTTTCGCCTTTTAAAGGCCTCGCCCACTCAAGCCCCGCCCCTCACCCCACCCACTCCACGCCCCGCCTCCTCTGGCCCCGCCCCTTCCGCCACACTCTTACCTCCTAGCCCGCGCCTGTCACTCATCCCTCAGGTCCCGCCCCGACTACTACCGCCCACTTTCTCCCGCCCCAGGCTCCCCACTTCCGGGCCTGCGCTTTTCACTTCCTGTTCAGGCCTGGTCCCTTCCTTACCCGGGTCCGGAGCGGCGCCAGCCCCAGAGGCACACAACCGTTGGTTGGGGCATCCCTGACAGGAGGCCCCTCGGCCCGCCTGGGCGCTGTCAGCCCCGGGACAGTCTGCGCGGAGACAGGATTATAGTTAGAACAGCTCGCATCGCTTCCGCCCTGCCGCCCGCGCGCGCTCTGCGAGCTCACCGTGAGGAACCTCCTCCTCCATGCCGCCACCCTGGCCGCCGACCCGGTCACCGGAACCGGCCGAGGCGCATTTCCGCCCGGCGGGCCCAATCTGCCCCTCCAGGCGCGCGAAATAAGTGTCGGGAGAGGAGGGCTGTGCGCACGCGCGGAACGTGCCGTGGGCGGGTTTGGAACTTAGGTGCGGCTGCGGTAAAACTTGAGAAGGCGGCTCCCGAGGGTAGGGGGGTCCGTTCTCCGTGACCCCCCTTTGCTTGCTTGTGAGGGAGGCATAGGCGTTGCCCCCAGAGGTTGCGTCTCGGAGAAGCAGGTGGCCCGGGGCTGGGGGCGCGGTGGTCTGGGGCCCCGGGGACACCGGCGCGCGGGAGCTGCTGCAGCCCCGGGCCCACGGTCACGCCGCCCCGTGTCGCCTTGCGTCGGTCCTTGGCTTCTGCAGAGCCCGGACCCTGGGCTTGCAGGCGATCCCGTGCGCTCCGGGCGTCTGGCCTGCGTCCTGTCCCAGGATTCGCTTCAGGCCGAGTTTTGGGAAGGTGGGGGGGGAGGGGCGGAGCACGCGTGGAGGATGTGTCCCACGGGGGGCGCTCAGTGCCACGTCGGGGGCGTCGTTACTGGCCGCGGCGGGGGCCGGGGGTGCTCTGTAAGGAACTCTCTCGACCTTCCGGGGTTGTTTCTCCTTTTTCCTGGAGCCTTAAGCGATTTAATCGATGCTTTATAACAAGCTACCGTGTTTGTCTTGGGCCAGCCCCCCGCCCCCAGTACGCAGCCTGCGCCCTTCAGGCCGGCCCCCGTCTCCCTTGGCTTCGAGTCCAGCGGCTTTGGGCCTCTGCTGGCTCTCACCCTCCCTCCGCCCGCGGGCTGCGGTCGGTGGAGACCGGTGTGCAGAGGCCAAGGTCTGCGTGTTGCGCATGCCCGTTGCGGCCCGAGCAGCCTGGCTTAGGGCTTGGCGTCGCCTGGAGCAGAGATCGGACTTCACCCGCCCCAGGCGCCAGGGATGCGGGTCCTGTTTGTTCAGCAGTACTGTGTCAGGTGCCCACGGCCAGCACCTTGGGCCCAGAGAGGCTGAGTGCCTCGCCCAGGGTCGCACAGCCCGCAGGCGCCGCTGGAACGCCTCGGTGCAGAGGCCTGGTTAGGGGCAGCCACGAGTGAGTGTGCCACGCTGCAGAGTCCCAGCAGAGGAGCCCGACCTCTCACCTCGCTCCCCGCCCACGCTCCCCGCCCACCCCCGTCTCGCCTGCGGGGTGAGGTCACGTCCTTCCTAGCCTGAGCGGAAAAGCAGAAATGCGGTCCCTCTCCCCCTCCCCCCCTCTCCCTCCCTCCCTCTCCCCCCTTTCCCTCCCCCTCTCCCTCTCCCCCTCCCTCCCTCTCGCTCGCCCTACTCCCCCCCCCGCCCCCCGGGGGAGAAGGTTAAAGCATTTGGAGGAAGGTTGGGGAGAATGGAAAAAAGAGAGACCTTGAATTAGGTTTTGTTTGATAAAACACCCTGGGGCAGCCCAGGTTCAAGGGCTGGGCAGACAGACTCTGCTGGCCCCAGCAGGTGTATCAAGTGCCGTTTTTGACCTCACAGTGATGTCTGCACGATCCTCACGCCACGCCCCTGCCCCCAGCTCCCCACACATGTCGATCTGTGTCACTCTGCTGCTCATTAACCATCAGTGGCTCCTGATGGCCCCAGCACAAGCACTGATTTTCACATCGTGTTCTGTAGCCTCCTGGACTCATTTGCATCCTCCGGCTTCAGTTCTTGCTGAATGCCACCAGGAACCCTGAACTCGACCCACTGAACAGCTGGCTTTGCCCCGGCACCTCGGTCCAAGTCTCTGTGGCTTACACGGGCCCATCGGCCAGGGAAGTCCACCCTGTCCGGCCTTTACCCAGTCCTCTGGGACCCGTGAGGGTTGAGCAGCAGCTCACAGAGCCATTCCTGGCCCATGGAACTCATTGTCCTCTCCTTTCCCGATACATGTGTTCCAAAGTCTGACTGTGGGGGCCAGCGCTGTGGCATAGTGGGTAGAGCTATGTCTGGAAAAAAAAAAAAAAAGAAATGGTGGCATCCCCTGTGGGTGCTGGTTCAAGTCCCGGCTGCTCCACTTCTGATCCAGCTCCCTGCTAATGGCCTGGGAAAAACAGTGGAAGATGGCCCAAGTGTTTGGGCACCTGCCACCCACGTGGGAGTCACGGATGAAGCTCCTGGCTCTTGGCTGTGGCCTGGCCCAACCCTGGCCATTGTGGCCATCTGAGGAGTGAACCAATGGATGGAAGATCTCTTTCTCTCTCTGTAACTGTATCAAATAAATAAATAAATAATTTAAAAAAGTCTGAGTTTGCGTTTCTATTCCGTATCCTCCTGAGTATGAGCACTCCAAACAATAAAAATCTGCACTGGAAATTTTGTGCAAATTGCCCATGATACTTAGTTCTGTGAGCTTGAAAGAAATTATTACTTTAGTCTCCCCAGTTGAAGATGGTAAAACTACAAAATTAAAAAAAGTTATTGCTTGAAATTTACAGAATTAAGTACCAGAAGACTCAAGCAGCTAAATGTAAAAATGATTTCAAAAATAAATTTTGGGGACAGGTATTTGTCATAGCATTAGGATGCCACTTGGGAACCCATGTTCCATGTTAGAGTCCTGGATCCGCTTCTGATGCCAGCTTTCTGCCGATGTGCACCCTGGGAGGCAGCAGAGGATGGCTCTAGTGTCTGGGTCCCTGCCACCCATGTGGGAGACCCAGGTTGAGTTCTAGGCTCCTGGCTTTGGCCTCAGCTGTTGCAGGCATCTGGAGAGAGAACCAGCAAAAGAGCTCTTTTTTTTTTTTTTTGTCTTTCAATTAAATTGAAAAAAAAAATTATAAAGATTTATTTACTTGTTAGGCAGAGAGAGGGAGAAACAGAGAGAGGTCTTCCATCCACTGGTTCACTCCCCAAGTATCCTCAATGGCTGGAGCTGGGGTGACACGAAACCAGGAGCCAGGAGCTGCTTCCAGGTCTCTCCCATGCTGGTGCAGGGCAGGCATTTGGAAAATCTTTCCCAAGCCATCAGCAGGGAACTGGATTGATACCCATACGGGATGCTGGTGTCACAGGCAGAAGCTTAACTTACTAGGCCACAGAGCTGGCCCCTAAAAACATTTTTAATTAAAAAATAAATTTGCAAAACTATATAGACGGCGAAAAGATCAGTGGTTGCCAGGAGTTTGGGGAGAGGGAGAGGGCAGGAGAGAGGAGTAGTTGGAGGGCAGAGGGTTTTTAGGGCAGTGAAAGTACCATGTGTGATGTTGTCACAGCGTGTTCATGTCATTGTACACTTGTCAGATCCTGTAGCATGTACACTGGCCAGAGCGACCCCTAAGGTAAACTGAACTGTGGACTTCAGTTAATCCAGCCTTCTGCCCTTGGTTCATCGACACTGACGCAAGATGGTAACAACAGAGGAAAGCAAGGGAGAGAAGGGGATTATGTGGGGATTCTTTGAACTTTCTGCTTAAGTTTTCTGTTTGCCTAAAACTGTTCTAAAAACAAAGTCTGTCCATTTTTAAAGTGTGTTTATACTCCTGAAATGTTTGAAGTTTAATCTGCACGAAGACAAGTGCGCATACTTTCTATAGCAAGGCTTCTTTTTATTTATTTGAAAGGGAGGGAGAGCGAGCGAGCGAGCGAGTGAACAAGAGCGCTTTCATCTGCTGGTTCACTTCTCAAATGCCTGCAACAGACAGAGCCAAGCCAGCCCAATGCCAGAAGCTAGGAACCCAGTCCAGGGCTCTCACGTGAGCCAGGGACTCAAGTACTCAAGCCATCTCTGCTGTCTCCCAGGTGCGCCTCAGCAGGAAGCTGGAATTAGGATCAGAGCCAGGACTTGAGCTGAAGCACTCTGATGTGGGATGCGTATGTCCAAGTGGGTTTCTTTTTTTAAGATTTATTTATTTATTTGAAAGGCAGAGTTCCATAGAAGCAGAGGCGGGGGGGGGGGGGATCGTCCATCTGCTGGTTCACTCCCCAAGTAGCTGCAACAGCTGGAACTGGGCCGACCCGAAACCAAGAGTCAGGAATTTCTTCCAGTCTCCCACGAGGGTGCAGGGGCCCAAGCACTTGGGACATCTACTGCCTTCCCAGGTCAAAACAGAGAGCGGGATCGGAAGCGGAGCAGCCAGGACTTGAACCGGTGCTCATATGGGATGGCGGCACTGCAGGTGGAGGCTTTACCTGCTACGCCACAGCGCCAGCCCCCCAAGTGGTGTCTTAGCCTCTGTGCCGAATGCCCACCCCCACCCCCACCCCCACCCCCACCCCCACCCCCAGCAGGGTGTTCTAACCCAGCTGCACATTATAATCACCTGGAGTTTCAAAGCATGCCGGGTCCTCGCACACACCAATTCAGTCGCGGTCTTGGGGGTGGGGTCTGGGCGTGTTTTTAAGCTCAGTCTCCCCATGGCACCAAGAGTGCCTCGTGGGGACAGGTGAGGCGGGTGAGCAGATGCACTGGGGTTTATAGCTCACGCTCTGGAGCCAGACACGTGCAGATGCTGCCTCGTGCTTATGAGCAGAACCACACCGGGCAAATCATTCATGTCTCCAAGCCTCAGCTTGCTCATCTGTAAAATAAGGAGATAAAAGCATTTTCTGCACGAGGTTGCTGGGGGGATAAAATCATTGAATGTGTTTCACGGCGCCCAGAGCTCCCAGAGGGCAGAGCTGCAATCCATGTTTGTGTTTGAGTAAACTCAGGGGTGTAGTTCAGAGATCACATCCTTCACCCGCATTTACAAGTGGGGATCTGAGGCCTGTGTGGGAAAAGTCACCCAATCACACGGTAGATTAGTAGATGAAACAAAACTAGAACCTGGGCCAAACTGGCTGAAAACCTGGTGCTGATTCAGCGGGACAGGGACATTGGAAACAGGTGCAGGCAGTCCCAGCGTCCTGTGAGATGACGGTTAACACACACAGGAGGCACCTGCTGTTCCTGGATTGCACCATTAGGGGGCGATCTTCCCCTACTTATGATGAAGGCAATCAGGAAGTAAGTAGAGAATTTTTCTGCCTTTGGATCCAGTAAAAAATATCTAATAAGGGATTTTATACACAGCAGGCACTTAGCATGTAATTGAATTCAAAAATAAGATACATATTTATTATAAACTAGAATTCTTTCTTAAAAAAGACTTATTTATTTGAAAGGCAGAGTGACTGGGGCGGGGTGGGGGGAGAGGAAGGATAGATCTTCCATCCCTGGTTCACTCCCCAAATGCTTGTGACAGCCATGGCTGGACCAAGCTGAAGCCGGGAATCAGGAATTCCCTCCGGGCCTTCCAAGTGGGTGGCAGGGGCCCAAGCACTTGAGTCATCACCTGCTGCCCCATGGGGTGTGCGTTAGCAAGGAGCTGGATGGGGAGCAGAGTGAGGAATCCAACAGGGCTCTGATACGGGATGCGATGCGAGCAGCTTAATCCCTGAGCCGGGTGCCCCCCCCATAACTTTCTAACTCATTACTAGCACAATTCTGTTTCGGTATCATTGATCCCACCCCCCATTAAGGGTTGTATTTTGTGGCTTCTTTGCATGTCTGCCAATTTTCCATCCAATGCCAGTCATTGTGAATTTTGCCTTACTGAGTGCCGAAAACGTCGTTTTATAATTTTTTTTTTTAGGACACAGCTGATTTACTTGGAGACCTTTCTGTAAGACTTGCTGCTAAGCTTTGCCAGGTGGGGCCAGGTGGCCTAAGTCTGGAGCTAATGCTGCCCTTCCTAGTATCTGACTTGGCGCTGCGTGGATTAGGAGGTTGTCCACTGTGGTCCGTGGGATCAGGAGCTACTCCCAGCCTGTTCTGGGGATGGTGCCTTTTGTCTTTAGGGGTGCTCCCACCATCCCACACGCACTTATCAGTTTCGCTGGAGGCTGAGGGCTCCCCGCCCTGCACACTCAGCCTCCCAGGCAGCCGCCCTCCCAGCTCCAGCCCCTTCCCCGGAGGTCAGGGCTCTCTGCTCCAATCCTCCTGTGCCCTGGCTAAAAGCTCTCTCTATGTACTTGGCTGGGGCGAGGGGGACTCGCCTCACCTGTCACCCACCTCACTGGGGGCACTGTCCTTCAAGGCCTCCAGTCCGGTGTCTGGAAAACCAGTGCTTACGGAGTGTGAGGACTTCTGGAGTTGTTTCAGGAAGGAAGAGAAGTCAGTCCTTGTTCACGCAATCTTGGTCGCAGGCGGAGGTCATGTGTGTGTATGCGCGTATGCTTGTGTGTGTGTATATGTGTATGTATGTTGCTCTTACTTTCTTTGGGAAATAAATTTTAAAACTTCAAAGTAAAATGGTGGGCCGGTATGTGGTGCAGTGGGTAAAGCTGCTGCCTGTGACACCAGCGTCCCATATGGGAGCCAGTTAGAGTCCCAGCTGCTCTACTTTTTTTTAGTTTTTTTTAAATTTGTTTATTTGAAAAGTTAGAATTACACAGAGAGAGGAAGAAGCAGAGTCTTCCATTTGCTGGTTCATTCTCCAAGTGGGGCTGGGCCAGGTGGAAGCCAGGAGCTTCTTCTGGTTCTCCCACGCGGGTGCAGGGGCCCAAGGACTTGGGCCATCTTCCACTGCTTTCCCAGGCCATAGCAGAGAGCTGGATGGGAAGAGGGGCAGCCACTTAGCTACTATCTGCAGGCGGTGGTTTTACCTGCTACACCACAACCGGTTCCCTGCTCCACCCCTGACCCAGCCCTGGCTGTTGGAGCCGTTTGGGGAGAACCCAGGGAAGATGGATCTCTGTTTTTGTATACCACGAAGGCATGGAAGAGAATGATCAAAAGTACACGACCCCTCTCTGCCCCGCCCTCCCTCTGTCCCGCCCCCTACAGGTAGCTCCCGGGCCGCAGCGATTCCCAAAAGCGTCCGTGCGGACTCGACTCCCCGCGTGGGTGCGGCGTGTGTGCCCCGTGCGTCGCGTTTTCACTTGGTGTAGCTCAGTCGGCAGCGCGTGCAGGCCCGACCCGCCCTTCCCGTGCCGTGCGCGTGTGCCGCAGGGGTCTCGACCCCCGCCGGGACGCTGGAGACCGAGGCAGGGTTACCACCGCGTGCCGCGTGGGCGGCGGCGCAGCTGCGCTCGGGTTTCCTGGCTGTCCCTGTGCGCGGGTCCCCTTCCCGCTTCCAGAAGCCAGAGGCGTCGGCGCTCCTGCCCGCCCCCAGGGGGCGCCCGAGGACCGCGGCCGCCGGGAGTGGACGTCCTGCGGCCACGGGCTGTCCCTTCCTCTTGTCCGTCACAGGCTGATCACGACTCAGGTTGTGCTCCAAGAGCCCTGTGCCTGGGCCGTGAGGTCCCAGGGCTTGCTGAGCGCCGGGGACCTGTCCGTGCTCACTCCCGGCCTTCTCTCCTGCCCGGCTGTGTGCACACTCACGCTCATGCCTCATTCTCACACTCAGGTCACTCACCTCACACACCACACTCGCATGGACACCTGTCCTCAACATACACTCACTCACAACCCGTCCTCACACAGGCTCACTCCATACCGTCACATGCACACATGCACACGGATTTTAATATTTTTTGCAGTCAAATGAACTTTTTAAAAGATTTGTTATTGGCCGGCACCGCGGCTCACTAAGCTAATCCTCCGCCTGCGGCGCCGGCACACCGGGTTCTAGTCCCGGTTGGGGCGCCGGATTCTGTCCCGGTTGCCCCTCTTCCAGGCCAGCCCTCTGCTGTGGCCAGGGAGTGCAGTGGAGGATGGCCCAGGTGCTTGGGCCCTGCACCCCATGGGAGACCAGGAAAAGCACCTGGCTCCTGGCTCCTGCCATCGGATCAGCGCGGTGCGCCGGCCGCAGCGCGCCGGCCGCGGCGGCCATTGGAGGGTGAACCAACGGCAAAGGAAGACCTTTCTCTCTGTCTCTCTCTCTCACTGTCCACTCTGCCTGTCAAAAAAAAAAAAAAAAAAAAAGATTTGTTATTAATTTGAAAGTTACAGAGAGCGGAACGAGAAATCTTCCATCCCCTGGTTGGAATGACCCCAATGGCTGGAGATGGGCCAGGAGCCTGGAACTTATTCTGCGTCTCCCATGTGGATGCAGGGGCCCAGCCACTTGGGCCATCTTCTTCTGCTTTCCCAGGGGCATTAGCAGGAAGCTGGATGGGAAGTGGAGCAGCCAGGACTCGAACCAGCACCCATATGGGACGCCAGTGCCACAGGCAGAGGTTTAACCAGTTGTGCCACAGCTCCGGCCCCTCCTTAAATGTTTTGAAGTACTTTCTCATGTGTGCTCTCTCATATAGTTTCCCATACTCACTTTCATGTTCAGCCACTCACCATCATGTACTCACATGTACCCACATACAGGTGCTTCTTACACACACATTGACACTCCCTCTCACATGCACTCATGCACACGCAGCCCTGTTCAGGCTTACACATTGTCACACACACACACACACACACATGCATGGCCACACTGTCAAACCCACCCCTGCATTCCTTCCCAATGCATTCTTCCACACACACCAACACTCACACCCTCACTACTCACACCCCTGTATACTCTCTCCCACAGCCACCTGCTCGCTCTCGCACACCCACACACAAGCGTGTCCCTGGACCCCTGGCGAGGGCCCCGAGAGTGTCTGTTACCAACACCCAGCTTCATGCCTGCCGTCGCTTCTCAGTACTGGCCGCCATTGGTGCACACCGAAGGCCCCAGGAAGGGACGACTCCCTCCCGCCCGGGGCCAGTCCCTCTCCCTGGAGGCTGCCAGGGCCGCCCATCCTTGTCCTTCAGCACTGCTCGTGCCCCTGCTCTCCAGCCTGCGCCATCCTGACCCTGACTTGACACAGAGAGGAGCAGATGAGGACAGCTGCCTGTCCCAGCCCCTGCTCTCCCCTTACCCACCTGCCAACAAGGTTGTCCCCCATCTGCACCTGTGTGTTTTGTAGCCCGGCACCATCCGAGGTGACAGCCCCTGGTCACGTGTGGCTACCTGAGCTACTTAAAATCAGATGAAGTATGGAATTCTGTTGCTTAGTTCGTTAGGCACATGTCCCATGTGGCAGCTACGCACGGCTGGTGGCCACCACGGCAGACAGCAGCAGGAATGTTCCCGACTGCACCGCCCCGGCCCCCACCTACCAGCCTCCATGCTCTCCTTCCGCAGTCAGATGGCTTTCACGTTAAATCTACAGATGTGGAGCAGCCCCTTCTGCAGCTCACAGAGCTCATGCAGCTGTCTCACAACAGTCCAGGCAGAGTCGGAGGTCAAACAGGCCACAGGCATCCCTGGGCCTGGCGTCTCCAACGTGTGGGAGGCCGAGCCGGGGTGGAGACGCAGGAAGTCCAGTCCCAGGGACAGCAAGGTCTCCCCTCTCCCCTCTCACCTCCCTCCTCCTGCACTTCCCACGGCCATCTGGTATTTCAGAAACAAAATGAGTTTTCCATCAGCCTGGTTTCCGAGAGATTCTTTTGGTGGTGGGTGAGGGCTGTCTCAGCAGCAGTGAACTTAGTGTGCTTAATGCAGAGTAGACTGTTATTGCTATTAATTTTAATGTCTGATTCCTTTAAAATTAATATATTTATTTGGAAGGCAGAGAGTGAACCAGCAGATGGTTCACTCCCCAAATGCCCACAACAGCCAAGGCTGAGCCAGGCTGAAGCCAGGAGCCAAGAACTCCACCCAAGTCTCCTATGTGGGTGGCATAGACCAGTACTTGAACCATCACCTGCTGCCCCAGGGTGTGCGTTAGCAGGAGGCCAGATCAGAGGCAGAGGTGGGACTGGATCCAGGCACTCTGATATGGGACATGGGTGTCCCAAGAGGTGACTTAGCCTACTGAGCCACATGTGCCTACCCATAGATTATTTTCAATGCCCTCTTCCTCAGTATGACAATGTTCTTAGGAATTATTATGGTTTGGGTTAGTTTTTAAGTTTTGACACAAACAAATAAAAAGGAGAATGCATTTCAGTTTTAAGTTAATGTTTGAAATCAGTGAAAGATTTCAAAAGAAATATTAAACATTTCCTTTCCAAACCAGTATATTACATTTTGCAGGATGGATGCTGCACCATGGTTTGACCCTGACAAATTATCTTTCTTTACAGCCAGGAAAAACACACATGGGTTTTACACACACATGTGCATGAGTGCACACACATACACACTTGTATATAACAGCTTGCCAAAACTGTATGTTATAATGCAAAGTTAGATTTTTTAAAAAGTTGATTTTTTTTTCCTACACGAAAAAAATTGCTTAGGAAAATCAAGCCAGAGCCCCAGGGACTGACAGGTCAGTTTCTCTGCTGACTCAGTTTCCCTTGGTGTGTGCGGGGGGTTGGGAGGGGCCCCCTCAAGAGGATACTTTCGCCAAGTGAAAGGCGTGCGTGCTCTTCAGCCCCACAGCTTCTTCTGAAAGCTGTGCTCACACACGCCCAGAGACGGCTCTGAGAACGTGTTGTATCTAACGCTGTGCTCCCAGGACTGCTGCTGCTATATGGCAATTGTGGGGCCAGGGAGCTGCATGGTGGCAGGGGAAGGGCCCGGGGCACTGCCCGGGGCAACGGGAATGTCCTCACCTTGGCTGCGGTGGCGGCATGCCTGTGTGTGTGACTGCCTGCTGAGGACGGTGCAGTGCACCGCGTGAAGACTGTACCTCCAGAAACCTAACACGGAAAGTGCACGTGTAGTCAGTGTGGGAATGTGTGTAATGGCAGGAGGCAAGAGACTAACGGCCAGGCTTAGCGAACGGTCCCATAAATAATGGCATGCCTACATAATAGAGTAGTATGCAGCTACTAAAAAGACAGATTTTTAAATTTATCTATTTGAGAGATGGAGACACACACCCAGAGGCCTCCCATCCGCTGGTTCAGTCCCCAGATGCCTGGAAGCCACGGTCCACCATGTGAGTGGCGGGGACTCTAGCTTGAGCCATCACCTGCTGCCTCCCAGGGCGTGCGTGAGCTGGAAGCTGGGGTCTGCAGCAGAGCCAGGATTCAAACGCAGGCTCGCCAGGATGGGATGCGGATGTCCCAAGCTGCACCTTGACTCCTGAGCCAAAGGCCCTCCTCCTCCCTGGTTGTTTCACTCCCTGTTGCAGCCAACCCTCCCCCCACTCTAGCCCCTGGCAACCACAGATCTGTCTTGTGCACACATGGCTTAGTCTTCCCTCAAAGGTCATTACTGTGGTTTGGACATTAACCCTGGAGTCCCCTGAAAGGCCCATGTGTCCAAAGCTTGGTCCCTAAAGTCTTATGTCCACGGCACTGAGGGGGTGGAATCTTAGTTCCACTATGGTGTCACAGGTGGGACATTTGGGAAGGGAGTGGACCTGGTTAGGCTGTGGGAGAGGGGCTGTTGGCATCGCATCATGGTGGCTTTATAAGGAGGGACACAGACCCTCCCTCTGCCCTGCTCTGAGCTGCCTGGGACTCTGCCTGTGCCAGATGCTGCACCGATGGAACCGTGTAACCTTGGGCCAAGGACCTTCCGACCTGTGAGCCCAGACAAACCTGCCTCTACCAGCAACTTGCCTTGGGTATTTCACCTTAGTATCCAAAAACTAACGCCATCACATACGGGGACTCACCAGGGTGCCGTCCCTGGAGCTCAGCTGCTCCCGCTCAGCCCAACACATCTGGGCTGTGAAGGGTCCCAGGCCCCAGTGGGCCATTTGGCTGGCATCTTGGGGATGAAGTAAGCAGGAAGACCACCAAGCCTGGCCAGACTGGCCCGGAGGGGCTGGAGTTTGCTGAAGCAGACCTCAATCTGTGGGCTGTGAAGTTCGCCTCTGTTTGTTTCCTTCGGACAAGGTGGCCCCAGCCGGCCTGCACGTGAGCAAGGGCACTGCCCAGAGCCCCTGTCCCGGGCTTTATGACACCGGCGCTGAGTCACAGAGGTTCTACCCGTGCCCAAGAGAAGCCCCTTCCCCTTTCCTGGTAGTGTCTTTGCCCTAGCGGGGCTGTCAGTGCGCGATGGAGTTCCTGGGAACCAGCCAGACCGCCAGCTACTGCGGCCCCCGCAGGGTGTGCAGCCTGGCGACGCTGCCTCCCGCGGCGCAGGCGCAGACCCCGGTGATCCAGGAGTGCTACCAGCCCTACTACCTGCCCGGGTACCGCTACCTCAACTGCTGGAGGCCCAGCCTCTTCTACAAGGTCTCGGACGCGCAGACCTGCCCGGAGGAGTGCCGCGCGCCCCTGCGGCCGCCCACCATCCTGCCGGCGCTGCGCTCCGCGCTCTTCTGTCGCCTCAGCCCGCGCGACTGGGACCAGGCCAACGAGCGGCAGGTGCGCGGGGCCGAGGCCTCGCGGCTGTGGGCCGGCAGGCTGACCGGCGACTCCCTGCGGCTCATGCAGGACAAGGACCAGCTCACGCGCCAGATGCAGGAGGGCACGACCCGCAACCTGGGCCAGAGGCTGTCGGACATTGGCTTCTGGAAGTCCGAGCTGGGCTATGAGCTCGATCGGCTTCGCACCGAGAACCATAGCCTGGAGACCGTCAAGCGGAGACTGGAGTGCGCGGCCGAGGAGGTGAACTGCCCGCTGCAGGTGAGCGCGTGCGCGTGCTGCCGCGGCCAGAGCAGGTGCAGGGCCGGCCGCGCGCTCCGCTGGCCTTCTCCAGAGGGTCGAGGTGAAGTGTACTTTGCAGGTCGGTTTGAGCTGCGTCGTTCTGTACCAGGGGGCTTCAGAAAGTTCGTGGGAAAATGAAATTAAAAGGTGCAAAAACGATTGGAATGCAAAAATATTTTGAGACCCACATAATAGTATTTTTAAAAATCCCCATTTTCTATGAACTTTTTGAAGATCCATTGGATGATGGGTTTTAAGGTAAAAATTTTTAATTTTTAAAAAATATATTTATTTGAGTATTTGAGAGGTAGATTACAGACAGAGAGGCAGAGACAGACAGAGGTCTTCCATCTGCTGGTTCACTCCCCAGATGGCCTCAAAGTCCAGAGCTGAGCCGATCTGAAGCCAAGAGCTTCTTCCAGGTCTTCCACATAGGTGCAGGGACCCAAGCACTTGGGCCATCTTCCACTGCTTTCTCAGGCCATAGCAGAGAGCTGGATGGGAAGTGGAGCAGCCTGGACTCGAACTGGCACTCACATGGGATGCCAGCATTGCAGGCAGAGGCTTAGTCTACCACACCACAGCCCCAGCCCCAGTAAAAACATATTCTTAGTCAATCCAGGGTAAGCTCAGTCAAGAGGTGGGAGATTCTTAGCCTGGGTCGATTTTTTCTTCTTGGGGTTACAGGAGAATTGCAGGGGATTCATCAACACATAGGTACATGTGTTGTGCATGTGTGGTACATGCGTGTGCATGTGTGTGATGGCCCTCTGAATGATATCTTTAAAAATAACTGTTTTTCTCCAGAGCACCCTCATCTCCTAACACGCTCCATCATTCCCTTGCGGGGTCGATTTTCTCTCCCCCTGGAATACATACAGGCTCCAGCAGCGCAGGGGTTTTTGGCTGCTGTGTCTCCGATATTCAGCTCAGTGTAGCTGTGCGTCGATGATGTCTGTGCTGAGGGACTGTTGTCTGGGGCCATGCCCTGGGTTATTCCCAGCCGAGGACCGAGTGTGGCTTGTGGAGCAGGGACCCCGTGAACACTGGTTCAGTGCACACCCATTAGGACGGTGTTAGGCTGCATGGAACGGACGGGGATCCCAGCGGGAGAGAGCAGGATGCTGCAGGCTCGTCCTGGGCAGCCACGCGGCCTCCTGCTGCTCTGCCGTCCATAGCCTGTAGCTTCTGTCCCACCGTGGGCAGGAGGCTTCCTATTTCACATTGCATGCTCCAGTGTGCAAGGAGCGTCCTGAAAGCCTCATCCGGGACAGGACGTGGGGGTGGGACACTGGCTGTCTCTGTCAGAGAATCTCTAGATGTCTAGGTTTCTCTAGATGGCCCATCCTGCGTTCCATGTTGTACCCATTCGCCAGAACTCCCCTGGGATCCCTGGCTGCCGATCTTTCCCTCCACGTCCCGGGGACACCGTGGACTGTTGCGTGGACGCTGGGGGAGGAGTGGGCAGCATCAGCCTCGTGCCCACCCAGGAGCGTGTCCCTGCCCCTGGAGTATGGGTGCACTCAGGATCTTCTGTCTGGAGACTTCCTGCTTCTGCAGAAATCCTGCTTCCAGGTCCTCCCGGGAGCCCTGGCTCCGATTCCCACCACTCTGGGACTCGCAAGCCCACCCAGGATGGGGAGCCGCTGTTTCCTTAAGGCAGCTCAGGGCCGCTTCTCAGACCTGCAGCAGTGTCTGGGCCCTGTTGCCCCTCCTCCCACCCAACCCCCTCTGCCCACTTGCCCGCCTGTCTGGAAGGACCAGCTCCGCCTGCTCGCCTGTGGCCTCTGTGGATCAGCCGCTGAGTGGCGGGGGCACCAGCAGCGTCTCAGTTCTAGCCACACCCTTCCATGTCCTGGCTTCCACACCAGCGCCAGCCCAGGTAGCCGCTCATTGAATGATGGTGACCCACTGTCTCCTGAGTTCCCCCAACCCATTCTCCACCCAGCATCAGAGGGGGAGTGGTAAAAGTTACACTGCATCTCAGTACTACCCCCTGGCTTCTTGGACTCCCAGAAATTAAGATCTTCATTCCTGAGTTTCTCTACCCTTCCCTCTTTAACCCTGCATGCTATTCTATTTTTCCTGCCCGACTTCCTCTGCTCCAGGTCCAGTGGCTTTCTGCCTGCTCCTCCTCCCACCCCAGGGCCTTCGCACCTGCTGTTCCCTCTTCCTGGCACACTATTCCCATTCCTTTCTGCTTCTCACGATGTAGTCTCAGTCTGTCTCCCCCTTGACCTCCCACACCCTCACACCACCCTGGGTGCTTTCATTGCAGCCATTATCACAGTCCCAAAGGATCCAGGCTCTTTGTGTCCTGTCGCCTCTGTTAGAACACAGGCAGTGTGAGAGCAGGGATGCTTCCTAGTTCATTGTACCACCCCAGGCCCTTCGACAGGGCACAGCTCAGAAGGGGCCTCCTGGAAGGACTCAGTGCGTTCCCAGGTGCACCTGCACCCCGTGCCCTGCTTCCTTCCCGGCCCTGCTGGTCTTTGTGATGTCACAGGCTAGCAGCCAATCACCATCTTCCCCGCTGAGCAGCCCCTTCTCTCGCCATCTCTTAGCGTCTTGCTCGGCTCCCCATGACAGCCGTAAGGCCCATGGCTGGGCAGCAAGGTTGCTGGGTCTCACTTGGACCTGATCACGTTGAAAAGTTTTCCCTCTACTTGGAGATCTCCCAAGAGACGTTTTGACACACACACTCGGGAATAGTTAGGGCCAGTGTTAGGACTTCGCATTTGTCATGCTGGCTGGAGCGGCATGCCCAGCGTGTGGGACATCAGGATGCTCCAATATTGTGCCCATCTGCATGCCAGGAGATGGGGTGGAGGAGTGACATGACTTGCCCGAGTGCACACAATAAGTGGCTAAGCCTGGCTTTGAACTTAGGAGGGAGGCTAGAGGAAGGATGGCAGCTGATACCATTTTATCTGAAACTAGGGTGGAGTTTTACTGTATTTTTATTAGATGGGCAGGCTTGGACACAGCTGATGGCGATTACACGAAGGGGTGCTGGCCCCTACCCCTGAACCCAGTGGGTCCCCAGCACGTGGCCTTACCCTGCTTTCTCCCCTTGGGCCCTGCATCTTCTACGGGATTGGCCACGGCATCCCACAGCGCCATCCAGGGGGCCTGGGAGGCGGAAGCTTGCCAGACTCAGTGATGAGGCACCCAGGTTTCTTGGATGAGGGAAAAAATTGAAGCAAAGGCTGACTGGAGCTGCAGAGAGAAGACGCTGTTTCCTTCTGCCCCCTGCAGGTGGCCCTGGAGTGCCTGTACCACCGAGAGAAAAGGATCGGGATTGACCTGGTCCATGACAATGTGGAGAAAAACCTTATTCGGGTAAGGCACCTCCTGGGTCTGCCCAGTCCCCTGAGGGAGGAGGGGGCCAGCTGGCCAGAGGGGGTTTTGTGCTACCTGCCAGGAGCAGAAGCCACATAGGAACACGAGGGCTCAGGAAGCAAGGGTGGGAGCCTAGGCTGCAGTTTAGGAACAGAGAGGAGTGGGGTCATCTGACTCTACCTGTGCCATCTCCAGATGGGTGTAACAGCAGGAACAGTACGGCCAGCAGGAGCAGTGACGAGAGCTGGTGTTTCCCAAGCACCTACTATGTGTCTATTCTGGTCCACTTGATGTGCATTCTTTAACTGAAGGATATAAATCTGCGAGTGGGCACTTGGCGCATAGGGGTGCTACATTGTCTTTTGATCCGGAAGTAATAATAAAGCAATGAAAAGGAAAAAGTCAGGCAAAGAAAGCAAGAGCTCCCACAGCCTGGGTGAACGTGGATTGAGGCAGGAAGCATCCGGGCCTTTGCGCTCTGGGTGGGCGGTGAGAGGCGAGGGCTCAGGGCTCTCACCCGTGAGCTCCTAAGAGGCTCTGCTCTGACGTTTTTTGTTTCAGGAAGTGGATTTGCTAAAATGCTGCCAAGAACAGTTGAGGAAATTGGCTCAGAGAATTGATATCCAGATGCGGTAAGGGCTTCTTTCTCTCCCCTCTCCTTGGGATCTGTTTTGGGAGCCCCAGGTTTCTGCGGGGAGGGGAGAGGGGGCAAGGCAGAGGGGCCCGCTGGTCTCTGGGTGGTTCTTTGGATGAATGGTGTGTTGGTCATGCTTAACAACCAGCTCTTGGCCGGCGCCGCAGCTCACT